CTAAATTACGCACTGCTTCATTACTGAAGTCTACGGCCGTTGGCTGATTTGAACATCGTGTACTGCATAGTAACCGTGGCCGCCTAAAGATGGCGTTACGTACCCACGCTCGCTATCACACTGAACGTATAAGCTCCACGTCCTGAGAAAAAATGAAGATAAAATACTCAAGGTCATGACTCGCGCTGACGAAGAGACTCATCATCTTGCCCCCTTGTCATCTCCATCTTGCGTATAAAATTCAACGCGCTCGCGGGTACTAAAGCAGCTCTTACCCCCGTATTCACAAACACTCCTCGACTCGACTTCCACCCTTAATTTGACAGAGTTGAGCACTGCGCCGCTGCTCGGCTTAAAGTGACACTGCGCTGCTCGAGAATCACACCACGTTATTGTTGATATGCAGTGACTTTCTGTCCCTAGAGAGGGCGCTTCCATCAACTTTTTCAAATGAAGGTGAAGCGTTGAGTGAAGGAACGTTCTAGAATACGGGCTTTAAACTGTGCGACTCAAGTAAACTAAAAAGAGCGCGTGGGTGACTAGTCTCGCTTGCAAAACAGACTGTTGGGTTAGTTGACCATCCGTGAACACTAGAAAAAGAAGCGCTAAAAGCTGATTGGCATGAAAGGAAAAACGAAGGACAGTTCCTACTAACAAATGTTGATTGATTGATATGTTGGGTTTAATGTCCCAAAATCACCATATCATTATGAGCGACGCCGTAATGGAGGGCTCCAAAAATTTCGACCAGATGGAATTCTTTTACGTCCACCCAAAATGGCTACTAACAAATATTTATTTTCGTCACACTAACCAAATTTAAATACATATATTCATGATATTGCGCATGTGCACTTTGCATTGAAAACAGGGTGAAAAAAAAGAAACCGATTATATGATAACAGCTGCCGAATAACAAAGAGTAAGTCACAACTGCGGATGTGAAAAGGAGCCTTGCAGAATTTCTAATTCGGAAACATGCTAGGATACCGAAGCCTCACTTATACACGAATCAACTTTCTTTTTGATGAAAAAAAAATAGCGCTGTCTCTGCGTGCTTCGCTGGCAAAGGTCGTCGACAGATCTTCTGCCTGGAGAGAGAGAATAAAACGTTTATTTGACGTTCTGCGCGAGAAAATCAGTGAGTAGGCACTGCGTGAGATATGAACACCATCTAACATTAATTTGAAGAAATGAAGTTTTTTTTTTTTTTCGAACGCGAAGCCAGGGGTAGGTGACAGCACCATGTATTTCTTATAGTTTTAGTAAAGTGTGGGAAACATATGTTTTGTTTGTCATAGCGTCGAATTGCCAGCGCAGCGTAATAAGCCCTGCCGTCTTTAGAATTACGCATCTATGCATTTTAGAAATAAAGTAACACACTACCTAATGCTCCCGTATTGGTGTTGCCCCCGAATATGTGTAATATTTGTTTTTTGAGTGACAATGTTCACTAGTATGAACCAGCAGCCAAAAGATCGAAATGGGTGGTCGGTCAGCTGTCACACCGGTCCCGTTAATTAGGGAGGCGATCGCCGGGCTAATTCCAAGGGCCGAAGTATTGGCCCTCCGAACCGCACCACGAAAGCGTGGACAATTTAGAAGTGGTCCTTTTTGGCGCGCCAGCGGACGCCGGCTGTGGCCCAAAGAACAAGTCAGAGCCGAGAGTCGATAAACAAAACAAATACTATATTCTCAAAAATGGCAGATCAAAAACACTACACAAGAATGCACACTCCACAATAGTTACATACAATACGTCACCAAACAAACAACGTACAACGTACTACACAGTACAATCAACCACACTTGAAACAACGGACACAGACAACAATACGCACTACAATGCAGTCGCATGCATTGAACAACCAAGACACTTAAAGACTAAAGAGATATAAAACCTATTCAGTCCAAAGTCCTTGGAACAAAAGTCTGAATGATACTCTTCCGAGAATCACTCACTCAAAGTCCAGCGTTGTTGTCGTTCCGCGCCCTCGAAGTTCTCTTCCAGGAAACCTCGCGTCTTCAATTGGCCACTATCCAAGCTCCAAACTTCTTCGCCCGAACACGTCGGCTTCACTCGCGCAGCTGTCGCCACGCGTCCTCGCTCGATAGCGGTAAACACACACTCTTGCCTGTAGCTCGAGTCTTCACCCCTCAGGTGGAAATCCTCTTCATCTCCGGCTTCGTCCCTACGGACCAAAACCTTCGCCGACTACACGGCGGAATCCCTACGCGCTCTGGCGCTCACTTCCGTCTCCTCCTGATTTCTCGTCTCGGCTGCTCGATTAAATACGTTCCGCGCCACCTTCCAGAAAGTTCTCCTCATTTCGTCGGCGCGATGCGCAGCGAAAGCTGGGGAGAGGTGCGAGACGGTTCGACTGCCCTCCCCGGAGGATGATTCAACTCGGTATGACCCCGCCCCGTTCGTTCTAGAAAAATCGCGGGCTTGCTGGGCCGCCGATGCGGGGTGAGGAGGTTCGTCTGCGACGCCACGCTTCCGCGGGGAGAGCGCGCGCCCGGGGAGCCTTGGACGTTTACTTTCTTTTTTTTTTCTTTTGACTTCGCGGCGTTTCTCCCGCCCGTTGTCGCAAGAATTTGGCGGTGCGCCCATCTTTAGCGCTCGTTCTGTGACATCAGCAAAGGGTTAAATTTTCGCTCTCATACGGCTGAATCTATTGACAGACAGACAGACAGACAGACAGACAGACAGACAGACAGACAGACAGACAGACAGACAGACAGACAGACAGACAGACAGCAGACAGACAGACAGACAGACAGACAGACAGACAGACGGACGGACGGACAGACGGACAGACAGACAGGCCAAAATCTATGCGTGAAGTATCTCGAGAAAGACTATCATTTTTAAAGTGAGCCGAGATGAAATGTGCTAGCTTTTGCTTAGTATCCTATGCTTCGGCCCAGTATCATAGCGGCTGTTCTGTGTCTGCTCTTCATTTTGTGCTAGTCAGTTTATTTTGCTTAACCTTTCAGCGGCCTGTCTCGTCCACGTGAGCTGAAAGTTCCTGCCTTTCGTCTCGTGGAGTTGCTGAATAAAAAGCGATACCCACAGCATAATGCTCCTCGCAAGCTTTACTTCATCGCACTGTACAATACAAATGAAGTGTACACCTAAATTTATTTGCGTACGTCACCCGGCTCACGCCCCCCTCCCCCTAAAATTCTGGATTTGCCCCTTTAATTTCGATTACTAGTTGAATCGACTAAATGCCAGCAGTCAAGAATGTTGCCTCTGGTTCCGTCCGTGCTGAAGTATTGAAATTACTTGGAAGTAGGACACTTTCTCCACATACGATCACCTCGTTTCCTGCACTACTCGAGCCCCTTCTGGACTCTCTAGTAAACCTGAATGACCCTGCTCACTCCCGGGCGCGCGCACATACCCTCCGCGCGGGGAAGGACGTAGGTCTGCAAGTTGGCAGCGAGATGTTCAGGGACGCTTTACTTACATTCAGTGAAGTGGCTAAACACTACCAGTTGAGTGGGTGGTCATTTGCTCCTCCGCACGATAAGTTGTCTAGACCTCAAGCCATCACGTTTAGAATGCCCCAGACCCCATTCTATCCAAGTCTACCTTTCCTCAGTATGGTCTCCTCCGAGGCTTTTCCGTCTACTTGTACTGATTGTGGTGGGGTTAGTAACTTCGAAGTCGGCTAACAGAAGAGGATTGGGACGCTGCGATGTCCAGAGTTACTGCTACAACTACGGGCTGTCCTGAGAGCCCACGAAGCGCTACGATTGTGTCATTTATTAAACCACCAAAATGTGATCATATTGACGACTAATTTTATTAGTTGATGTGCATATTTGCTTATGCTACGCATTGCGGCAGTTTTTCACCGTCCACAAGAGTGGCGATGTGGGCTTGTTGGTGAAACGTTTGAAAGAAATTTATGTAGCGCGAGGTGAAAAAACGAACACAGGAAGGAATAGACTGTGAGGACAGAGCGCTACTAGACACAACATGTTTATTTTCGACCTCAAAGCCGCTTTTAAGCCATAATCGTCAGGCGAGCAAGCAAATAAGCACGTGTATTCAGATAAAATTAAAAATTAAAATTAATGCTGTACAAAACGCTAATTAGACCTAAGCTTGAGTATGCGTCATCTGTGTGGGACCCCGGTCAAAAAACATTACCAGCAATCATTGAGTCGGTTCAAAATCGGTCAGCACGTTTGATTAATTCAAACTATACCTGCACATCTAGCGTTTCACTAATGAAATCAAACCTTGGACTAATTGATTTGAAAATTCGAAGAAAAATTTCTCGTCTATATGCCTTTTTCACAAAATCCTTTACCAAAATAATTCACTTAAACAGGAACTCATCTCGCAACCTTCATACATATCGTCACGTCTTGATCATCAGTATAAAGTTTTTATTCCTTTCTGCCGTACTAACGTTATTTCGGACTCCTATCTGCCAAAGACCAGTGCCGAGTGGAACCACCTTCCCCCCCTCCATCACCTCCATTGAGGACGTGTCATCCTTCAAGACTGCACTAACCGATCATATCTTAAGCCTCTAATAACTGAATATTGTTTGAACATGTATTCTAATTAATTGGTTGCATTATTGTGTTCTATAATTGCTGCATTTTTGTTATATTACCCACCCCCTCTGTAACGCCTTTATGGGCCCTGAGGGTAATGTAAATAAATAAATAAATGCACGACAATGTCATCATCGCCTCGCGCTACATAAATTTCTTTCGCCGTCCAACCTGCTTTCGACTGGCGCAAGAGGTGCCTTCATGCATACGTATAGCAAGAAACCTGCGAAAAATTCTCCTATTTTATTTCTTGATCTTAATGAAGAGTCAGTTTTCTCCTGGCAGGAACGTTACGTGTTGGACGTACTGTTAAACACAAAAAGCGATGAGACGGTGCGTCAGCTTGTAAATCACTCGCGCGAAGAGCTAGCGGATGTCGGCAGGCGATGTACCTCACGTTTCAAGTGGCGAGGCGCTAGCGGAAATATCGCACCTCTATCGCGGTAATCTCGCAGCAGCGGGATAGCAGGCCCGCGCTTGCTGGCGGTGGTCGCAGTGAAAACATCGTTGTCTTCAAGTCGGCAGCCAATCTGGGCCAGATTGAGATGACCAGCGATTCGCCAATGGGCTTCGTGTTCAAATTGCTCATCATAGCGTTCTGGTCTCAAGTGACGCCACTCCGAGACGCCTTAGGAGCACCGCAGAGAGTGAGAAAAGCCTTTTTGAATACACTAGACTCGTAGGCGTGCGCAGGACTCCACTTCAGCGAGGGGGGGGGGGGGCAAAGGCTCTTTCATAGCCCCCCTTCATTATTAGGCCAATGTATAGGGCAAGCCACCCTTCCCACCATCCCCCCCCCCCCCCCCCTGCGTACGCTTATGAACGGACAAACATTAGCAATCAGCCGGAAGGGGTACCCAAGGCCCATTCATGCGTTTGCCAACGGCAGTAGGCCCGATGGAGGGGATTTAGGGGTACGGACCTTAGGGTAGATTTAGAACACGTAATTGAGTTTTGTTTAGCAAAGTCGATAACTTGCAATAACGCCAACTACTCCCACGTCATAGGGATTCGACTACACTTGAGTTCGTTGAATCCTTCTTAATTATTAGCTGGTGATAACTGTGTAGCTAAGCCAGGCATAGGAAAGGTACCTAGATGCGCGCATCTGAGGTTCCCGGTTTCGTTCGCGATGAGTATTTGGTTTTACTTTTTTACTTACTCTCTCTCTCTCTCTCTCTCTTTTTCAATGATGATTGATGATTGATTGATATTTGAGGTTTAACGTCCGAAAACCACAATATGATTGAATGTAAGAAACGCCGTAGTGGAGGGCTCAGGAAGTTTCGACCACCTGGGGTTCTTTAACGTACAAGCGAATGTGAGCACATGGGCCTACAGCATTTTCGCCTCCATCGAAAATGCAGCCGCCGCAGCCGGGATTTGATCCCGCAACTGGCGAGTTAGCAGCCGAGTACCTTAGGCACTAGACAGACCACCACGGTGGGGCTGCTTCCTTTATTAAAAGTTCAATTGTCAGTAAACAGTATACTCAGCTTGCCCATTTCCTCTTATTGTTGTAAAGGGCGCAAATATGGAATCTTTCGTCCCACAGATACGTTCGGTGAGAAATTCTAGACCATATCGTATATTCCCCCTTTGCAAGCTTTTTTAAAAAAATAAAAAATTAGTTCTTTCACGTCAGCTCAATAAGGGTATTGTAAGACTTTTTTTGTTGAAACTCAGCTACTTTTTTTTTAATTAGGACCACCGTCAGAACAAGGTGCACGGCAGTATTAGTTTTCTTTTATTTATTTTGTGCGGTAGGCTTGGAGAGGCATGCGAGCCGTTGCGCTGCATTTGCTGTGGCACGGAGCATTGCTTCGACGGCATTCGGTCAGTGTACGACCGGTTCGGCCTTGACCGTAGATGCTGTGGTGCCCGCATGGCGCCCCGCGAAGTGCTGGGGCGCCCCAAATCACCGAGTGCTTCTGCTAATTTAGGACAAAGGAACCAACTCCCACGTCGGCGACAAACGGGTAGGGATGGAACCGTAATTGTGACGGCCCCCTGATTACCTCAAGGTACTTCTGGCCCGCATGCGCATGAATAAGCCTCTTCCGGGGCCCAGCGCGGCACTATGACCCATCGCATTGGTTCGGCTCACGAACCCAGCGTTTGTAATCACCGAGTGAGGACACGTCGGGATCACCAGTGACTTTCCGTCACAGCTCTCAGAAGCGGGCGGATTTTCGGCGCGCGAAAGACGCACCTCCCACTTCGGGTGGAGCGTCTCGGGCGCCTAGTGGGAAGCGTTGTTTTCACAACGTCAAAAGAACCTGAAATTTACTGTTGTTTTCATTGTTGACTTGCATCACACACTGGATCTGAAGTCAATGAGGATGGAACTTTTCTTGACGTGTCTAAAGCCTTCATTAAGGCTGGTCATCCGCCTTCATTAATTCTTCAAGTTTACGCAAATGTATTTATTAAGAACTGTTTATTTTTATTTTGCCTTAATGCGTTCATTTCTGCTAACAATTTTAATTCATCGACTGAACCAGGGCCCATGTTCACAAAAATGTCCTAAAGTAAAAGAAAATGCAAGAGAATATTGCATCCAATCGCGATGAGGGACATATCATGGGTGACGCCGGCTGGGCATTGAGAAACCGCACTTGCGAGATATTATTTGTGCATTCGGCCCCTATTTTCTTCCAGATTTCCACGGAAGTCATCACTATGAACGCTACCATTTCTAATTTTGATTATCGACTTACAACCTAAAATTAAAAAAAAGTTACTTAGTCGCGGATGACTGCGCGATATGCTAGAACTAACGATGACGATGTCGTCTGTTTTACCCACACACCAAAGTAAACCTTGTAATGGTAAATATGCGTGCAACTATACTAGAGCAAAAGCCTATAAGAGCATGGTTGTTGTAACATGAGCTTTTTATAGTCCCAAATTACTTTACCTCCTTTATAGTCAGCCTCAACTGATATGTATGCTTCAGTAGTGCGGGACACTGACAAGCAGACATTAACGAGGGAACTTGAGGTATCCCGTGAACAGTTGCGCGACTCGTTTACTTCATATGGAGTCATAATTTAACCATGTGTTACACAATCAAAATCAAACATGGGTTTCCTCTTACTTTCCATTTGTAATGAAATAGCTCGCGCTTATTTATTTCACAAAATTTAACATCATTTATTGTAAACCAGTTTGCACCCTTAAGGGTGCTTTGCGTGTCTACAACTGGTCGTGGGTTCGAATGTCGGCTGCCACAGCTGCATTTTCGATTTAGACGAAAACGACGTGGGCCAGTGTGCTCACATTTAGGCGCACGGTAAAGAAGCACAGGTGGTCGAAATTTCCGAAGCCCTCCCCTACAGCATCTCTCATAATCGTATGGTGGTTTTGGGACGTTAAACCGCAAATATCAACCAATCAATGCGTGTCTATAGCTAACACCCTACAATATGATTATATTGGCACACCAAAACACCGATGTCATGGGCGTTTTGAAACACCAAAAACACCTACGATGGGTGCTCTGGTTTGTCAAAACACCCTTATCGTAGGGCGTTAGTTATAGACACGCAAAGCACTTTTAAGGGTGTGCACTGGTATACAGTGTAACTACGCTTGTAAGCATTTCAGCCGTTCACCAGTGCATTCGTCTCGGGTAGGGTTGGCCACAGACAAATTAATGTCCCCTCGCTAGAACACGCTTACACGCTTGAGTGCTTTTTGCCCTAAATATATGTAACTTGAAATCACGTCTCCCAGTCTGCCTCTTCCGTCAGGATTTACTTTTGTTTTAAACAGCTTCTGTTGAATACGTATTGAATAGAGCACTCGACTGTCAATTTCATGCCTTTTTTCCCACTGACAGCAAACAGTGCAAACAGCAAATCACGGAAAGTAAAGTAACCTCGTATACAGCAGGAACCAGAGCCCTTGTAATATTTTGTAGCTGTATACATTCAAATACTGTGTTCAATAATGTTATGTGAAACTGTGTCGCCTTGTTTTAAATAAAATTTACTCAAACCGAACAATTTTCAACGAAACACCGTGGATACAGCTAAAGATGTACTGAAGCAGATATACCGGTCATCACAACATGGCCTGCGCAGCAAAATCATGTAACGATCGGAGCTTAATACTACACTTGCAAGAACAATTTACGCAAACGCAATACTCGCGCCTGTTGTTAGTCATGAAGATGTATGCAGTCGTAGCCCTCAAGCTTCAGTTATTACAACATGAAGACAGCTAGGCGTTGATTAATACTACAGAGCTTCATCATTGTAAAAAGTGGACCAGAGGTGAGTTTTCAGACGAAACAAATCTGACGAACAATCAATTTATAGTGTCGGTAATCTCGTAATAGATTGGCCTGCGTGCAGATCACTTTAGGGACAAAAAGAAAAAGAATGACTTTTGGCTGTTCTAAAGTTTCGTTGTTTTGGGGTTCTCTCGTCGGTGTTGATTATTCGAAAACAACCCGAAAAATATTCAGTGTTTCGAATATTTTGGAATATGTACTACTCTATTCGAGTATCGAATCATGCTCTTTGATTCGTTTTTCGAAAGCTTCGAAATATTCGCACACCCCTAGAAAATAGCAGAGAGAAGTGTTCAAATAGCACGTTGACTTGGGCAAGTTGCTGCATATACTCCGGCGAATGCAGCGCGATGAATATTAAGACAACAAAAAACATAGCAGCTCAGACGACCGCCATTCGGTGCACCTCTGTGTTTTGTGTGTCTTCCTGTCTTCGCCTAGGTGGCGCTGCCTTCGTCAAAGAGAAGTGACTATCTTAATTCAGCGGCTACTTGCGGAAACCACGTGGTGACGCTGTATTGTTCTTGCTTTATGAATTGGGTTTTCAACACTGAAAAGTATTGTGCTCTAGAAAGTGGGAAACAGAATGAAACAAGACAATTTATTTTTAGGAAGGCAGTGTAGACATTGGCCTAAGCGAACTGCGAACTAATGTTTACTTTGAAGAATTTAAAGGTTTGTAATAATGCTTCATGTAACAACGCTGATTTTGTTTTGTTTCCTTCGCGAAGCGCAAGGTTCAATCTGTACAAGAGCCTTCAGCGTTCGCCATTAGTTGCATTCGAATAAGAACTGGCGCATGCACGTAGGTTGGAAGGTCCTTCGTGATCGACTACAAGAACAACCGCTACCTGAAGGATGGCAAGCCGATACAGATTGTGTCTGGGTCCATCCATTCCTTCCGTTCACTCCCTCAGCAATGGGACGACCGCTTGTCAACAATGAGGGCTGCTGGACTCAACGCAATACAAACGTCAGTATGCATTCTTCTTCTTGTATCGTCGTTTTCTGTGGACCATAGCATCTGGGACAACACTGCCCATAAATTTCTTCATCTCCTGCAATTGACAACAAAAATTGCATTTCAATGTGTCACAAAGGCAAAAGGCACTGAGGTGAACAAAAAAAATTACAGGGGTCCCTGCAGGCACTTGCATAAGATGAAGAGGGATGCCTAATTGCGCCTTGCTGTATTGGACGCGTTGATAGAAGGTCGCCGATTTGGTCCCTGACAGCGACAAGTTATCTTTTCGTTCACTTTTGTTTATTCATATTTACTTTGCAATTGCTACTAAGCCATCCTAGTTTTAATCATTGTACTTTAGTTCTCATTAGTACTGTGTGTAACGAAGAAAAAAAAAACGAGCCCTTAAATTTCAGCTTTTTTGCTGTATAACAAGACGCACGCACCGAAAGTCTCACGTAACTTGTATAGGTTTTTTTACATCGCGGTCAGTTAGAAAAAAATCACAGCGTATCCACGGAGTGAATAATGATGAGTGAGGCGAAGCGCTGGAGGGTTTTATCACTAAACCATGCGCCATCTGCGAATATCGCCCACTACATCATCAAAGACGTAACAAACACTGTATATATTTATAAAATAATTTATTATTCGTAAGTGGTAGCTATACGTCGCTTCCCTTTCCCTTTGATTATAACGGCATTATGGTCGATGAAGTGGTGGATCGGTGATGGGGCGTAGTGGAATGTTAGCAAGGACGAAGTAGGGGTGGTTTGCCAAAGTAAGATTATAGACGGTCACATACAAAAAAATGCCGCCACATCCACGAAGTGAATGATGATGAGTGGGTGAAGCTCCGGAGGTAAACCTGGTAAACCATGAATCCTCCGTACATTTTGCCCACTCGATTTTATTGCAACGCTCCCCTTAGCGTACGTCGCCGCACTATATCGAACGATGACACGCGCCATATGTGGCATCATTCCTATTTTATAACACCTCGCATCTTTCATAATCAACTACACGTACCGCCATCTAGTTTATAACATCTTGCATCTTTTGGATGGATGGATGGATGGATGGATGGATGGATGGATGGATGGATGGATGGATGGACGGACGGACGGACGGACGGATGGATGGACGGACGGACGGACGGACGGACGGACGGATGGATGGATGGACGGATGGACGGATGGATATGGCTGTACCCTTTAGATCTGGCGGTGGCTAGCGTAATACTTAATGCCGTCAGCTACAAATACCGCCATCTAGTGAACACTGCAAGAACTGAACGAGAGGTGGCTACATACAGGGGACGCACAGCCCACGCCTTAAGGAGCTTCGCTCCTAAAAAAAAGGAAGGACACAGTGGGAAAATCGATGGTCCTTTAAAGGGCACCTGGATACATGTACACAATCATGTTGCACTTCATATTGACTACTTCTCAACACTATTTGCTATATGGTTGGTGAGGTGGTGGATTGAGGATAGGGCGTAGTGGGATGTTTGCAAGAACGAAGTAGTGGCAGTTGGCCCCTAAAAAAATTCGCCCCTAAAAAGCATACAATAAAAACAAACGCGTTTTTTTTAGGGGCGAAGCTGCTAAAACCGCGGGTCTGTCCCTTCTAGCTCGTACGTGACCGCGTAGTTCGATGACTCACTCAGCAGGTCTGGACGAATGGATGGACAGAAAAACCACCAGACAGACGGACGGATGTACGGACAGATGAACGGACTGACAGACCGACGGACAGATTCATGGTTTACCAATAAAACCCTCCAAAGCTTCGCCCCACACATTATCATTCACTCCGTAGATATGCTGTGATTTTTATATGTTTTGTAGCAGGTATTCATTCGAGGTAGCTTTTAATGAAAATATGGCAGCTGTTTTGGCGCGACAGACCCATTAATTATAAAAAAAAACTTTCATTTAAGGACGAGTTCGCTTGGCAACGGGCCTTAGAACCAGTCATTCGAACCGTCGTGATTCTGCATATCCTGCTGTTATTAAGCAGCCATTAGTTTGTGCTCTAATCTTAAAACAACTGCATACAAGAAGATTCGAAAGAAAAAAAAAACGAAGTTTTTGTTATCGTCCCAAAACACCACACGATTCTCAGCGCAAACCGCGCCTGTAGTTTTCTAGAGGGTTCCGGACTGTAGTAGATCATTTCGATAAGATCACGCCCACTGTGCGAATGGTACAGATTGTTCTGGAACGCACGCCACCGCCAGCGATAGCGCTAGAACATTCGACGGCAAGGGTATAAATGCCGACGCGCTTCGCCGCTTGTCAGTTGTTGATCGAAGGCCGACGCTCCGTTCGCCGCTATCAGTCCGAGACTGCTATCTGTGCGAGACTGCTGCTGTAATTGGACTTTCAGTTTACCGGGCACAGGTTCGCCCAAATAAACAGTTAAATCCTAACACGAAGTCTCCTGTCTTCGGCCACGTCACGACCCCGTGACATCTGGTGGAGGTGCTGGGTACACGGCTTGACGGGGGCGTCCGGTACATGAACGAAGCAGCACCTCCACCAGATGCGAGAGTCACCATTAACGGCCGTATTTATCCAACAGACTTCGTAGTCCTACAGCGTTGCTCGAGAGATGTCATCCTTGGCATGGACTTCTTATGCCTCCATGGTGCTGTCATCAACCTAAAAACAAAGTCGATAACGTTATCCACAGAAGAAGCACTACCGCCGCGCACGCCGTCTGGACACCATGCCTTGAATATGCTGGAAGAACAAGTCACCATTCCGCCTCGCTCAAGCGTCATTATTTCAGTCGGCGCTCCTGAATCACCTGACTTCGAAGGCGTCGTTGAAGGCAATCAGCATCTGTTGGTCACCCGAAATATTTGCGTCGCAAGAGGAATTGCAGAGTTGCGGGGAGGCAAAGCAACAGTTATGCTCACAAATTTCAGCAATTAGTATAAACATGTGAACAAAGGAACAACGGTCGCATACATCGAAGAAATTGTCGAAGCCACCAGTGCTTTCGCCCTCGCCGATTCTGCGGAACCTGCTCAGAGGAACCAAGCCCCTCCCATAGCTTTCGACGTCAATCCCAGACTTCCGAACGATAAGCAAGAGCAGCTCAAGGCCCTGCTTCTGCAATACGAAGATTGCTTTTCGTCGTCATCGAAAATTCGGCAGACCCCAATCACGAAACATCGCATCATAACCGAAGAAAATGCCAGACCACTCCGTCAAAGTCCGTACAGGGTTTCGACGCGAGAACGTGAGGCCATGAAGAGACAAGTTGATGAAATGCTGCGGGATGACATTATCCAGCCGTCCAAGAGCCCATGGGCATCCCCCGTGGTGTTAGTGAAGAAAAAGGATGGGACCCTACGTTTCTGCGTCGATTATCGCCGCCTGAACAAAATCACAAAAAAGGACGTGTATCCTCTCCCACGAATAGACGACGCACTTGATCGGCTCCATAACGCCAAGTACTTTTCGTCAATGGACCTCAAGACTGGCTATTGGCAAATCGAAGTCGACGAAAGAGACCGAGAAAAGACGGCGTTTATAACACCGGACGGCCTCTTCGAGTTTAAGGTGATGCCCTTCGGCCTTTGCTCAGCGCCTGCAACTTTTCAACGCGTTATGGATACAGTACTGGCAGGATTGAAGTGGCAGACTTGCCTTGTGTACTTGGACGACGTCGTCGTGTTTTCCTCGAGTTTCGACGAGCATCTTCGGCGCCTTGAAGCTGTACTTCAAGCCATCAAGACTTCCGGACTTACACTGAAGCCAGAAAAGTGCAGATTTGCGTATGAAGAGCTCTTGTTTCTGGGGCACGTTATCAGCAAGTCTGGAGTTCGTCCTGATCCACGGAAAACAGCCGCCATCGCCGAATTCCCGCCGCCCACTGACAAGAAAGCCGTGCGCCGATTTCTGGGCCTGTGCGCCTATTATAGGCGGTTCGTGAAAAACTTCGCCCGCATCGCCGATCCTCTCACTAACCTTACGAAGGCCGACGTGGAGTTCAAGTGGGAAACGCCACAGGAACACGCTTTCCAGGAGCTTAAACATCGCCTCCAGACGCCTCCGTTACTTGCCCATTTCGACGAATTCGCCGAGACAGAAATACATACTGACGCAAGCAGCGTAGGTCTTGGCGCCGTTCTTGTGCAGAGGGCCGACGGACTGGAAAGGGTTATTAGTTACGCCAGCCGATCGCTATCCAAAGCAGAAGCAAATTATTCCACAACAGAAAAGGAGTGCCTCGCCATCATCTGGGCTACGTCGAAATTTCGCCCATACCTTTACGGCAGGCCCTTCAAAGTTGTAAGCGACCACCACGCCTTGTGTTGGCTAGCCACTTTGAAGGACCCTTCAGGTCGCCTCGCACGATGGAGCCTGAGACTTCAAGAATATGACATTACTGTCATTTACAAGTCCGGCAAAAAAACACTCCAACGCCGACTGTCTCTCTCGTGCGCCTGTCGACCAACCGCTACCCGACGACCCGGATGACGACTACTTCTTGGGAACGATAAGTACCGACGACTTCGCTGAACGACAGCGGGCCGACCCGGAACTTAAGGCCCTAATAGAATACCTCGAAGGCAGGACCGCCGAAGTCCCGAAGGTATTCAAGCGCGCACTTGCGTCGTTTTTTCTACGAAACGGTCTTCTACAAAAGAAAAATTTTTCACCGCTTCGGGCTAAGTATCTCCTTGTGGTGCCTTCAGCTCTGCGACCAGAACTCCTGCAAGCCCTTCACGACGATCCGACGGCAGGGCACCTCGGTGTTTCTCGCACGCTCGCGAGGATACAAGAAAGGTACTACTGGCCGCGTCTTACCACCGACGTCACTCGTTATGTGAGGACATGCCGGGACTGTCAGCGACGCAAGACACCGCCGACAAGGCCAGCGGGACTTCTGCAGCCAATTGATCCACCTTGCCGACCTTTCCAGCAGATTGGTATGGACCTACTGGGGCCGTTCCCGACGTCGGCTTTCGGAAAAAAGTGGATCGTGGTAGC